AAACAAAACAAAACAAAAAACTGACTGACATTCTAAGCACATCTAGTGCCAAATGTCAATATTCTCACTCCACATAAATACTTTGTTATGAGCGAGCACATGCACATGCATGAAAGAGAGGGACCTTTGACAGAGTCCTGTCCCACTGTGATCCCCTTTTCCCAGTCCTCCATCTCTTCAGGACCTTTGGTACCCACGTGTGCCTAGTGTATTTTCAGGCACACTGAAAAGTGTAAACAATGAAATTTGCATTGAGGCACCAAAAAATTGGAAAAACAGAATAAAAATTACAATAATTCAATCTAGTTCTCTGGTGTTTCAATGAAAAAGAAATTCTTACACTTTTCAGTATGGGGGACACAGATGTGCAGCTGGCCGCGTGGCTTCCAGCCCTGTAGTCCGCCACTATGGACTGCCCGCTAGGCTGGGCTATGTGTGGTCATTCTTCTGTAAAGTCAGGTAAGGTACGTATCTATAGATTCCTCTTTCTGTGGGATACCTCTGAGAAACTAAGATGCTCCTGAGAGCTACGGTTCTGCAGATCTGGAGAGGTGCGAGATTTTGAAATAGTTTAACGTTTAATATTTAAATGAAAATATTTCAAAATCTCCAATTGCATGAATTCCTTAGACTTTAGCTACTGTATCAATGATTAGAAAATGTTATATGAAAACCCTCAAAGAGCAAAATACTGCCTTTTCAGTGTGCCTAATCTTACACCAGACATCCTTACACCTCCTCTCCTGACCTTATACACTGTTACTAGCACAGAAACCTATGATTTTTTCCTAAAAAAACCCACAGATTTTGGGCCATCAGGTAGCATGGTGGTTAAGGCGGCTGGATCCCACATGGCCAACTTTGTGGTTAGAATCCCAGAACGGGCGATGTAAAAACACACTGGGGCGCATATGCCCAAAATCCTGAGAGGAGAATGAAGAAGGAATTGCAGCATGGCCCTCCCCATTGGAGGGTGTTTTACCACTTTTCCTCTGGATCTCCTTGGCAAGCACCAATATCTGATAGCACGAACAAACAAACAAACAAACAAACAAAACAAAGCGAACAAAAATCTCCACAGATTTCCACAAAAATAACAGGTTTAGAAGGAGGTCATTTATTAGTTCCTACTATTTGTTAAATTCTAGTCTCATTCAAGGGACATAAAATGAAATATGTGTAAAATTAATCTTATGGCCTGAATTGATAAGAGCATTTTCTTTCATCATTAAAGACTGTATGTCTCAGGTAAATGACTAAAAGTAAGAATTAACGTTTAGTGGTTAGTATCCACTCATGTTCATGAAACTTACCACAACATTTTCCAGAATGAGTTCTCCATACGGCTCAGCTGTGTATTTCCCTAATAAGTTAGCCAGAAGAACATTGTCTTTTTTCCAGGTAATTGCTGGAGGGGGTATTCCATCAGCCACGCATGGAAGAATGGCTTGTGAATTTTCATCGACCGTGTAGTGTACATCTGTGCTTTGGATCCTGGGTGGTACTATCAAGAGTTTTAAAAAGATGGTTACCCAGGAAGTGAAGTTCAATAACATCTTTATTCACAATGAAAATCAACACACCAGAGGCTTTGTAAAGAGTAACTTTGCTAGGGAACCAGCAGTTAGCGTAATGGCTATGTCGCTGGACTCCCACGTAGTCGTCCGCGGTTCGTGTCCCGGACCCGGTGGCTTAAAACTCACGCCGGGCGCGTGTGCGTGCGTGCCCAAGAGCCCGAGAGGAGAATGGAGGAGAAGGGATTGCAGCGTGACCATCCCCCCTGGGGGGTGATTTCTCGCTTGCTGTCTCTATGTCTCTCTCTGGCTGTCTGGCGAGCGCACGCCCCCTACAGTGAAAATCTCTCAAAAAAAAAAAAAAGAGAAACTTTGTAAGTATTTCTTAAAAAAAAAAACCCCACTTTATTTGAATAATGATTTGCCTGTTGCTATGAATACAATCAATATTTTTGATGCTAGTGAGAATTCTAATGTACTTGAAGTTATTGACCATATTTATATTTAGTTTCTCAGCAAATGATGTGGAACTGGGCTGGAAGTCTTTGGATTTTATTTGTCTTCCTGACTTTTTTATACTCAAGTTTCTTCTGCTTACTGAAATGAAGTAAAGCAAACAGTAACAACTAAAAATGTTGCTGCAGCCTCTAACTGTTGGATTTGTCTCATGGATATGTTGTGAGGAACACTCACAATATTAAGTATCAAAGTGCATGGGTTGTAGCATTGCAATAATTCAGTGTGCTACAATAATTACAAGAAAACCCAGATTATGACAATTTTTTTGAGGTTATTACTATAAGGCACGTGCATTTGCCAGAAAGACAGACACAGAGATACAAAAAGCGAGAAATCACTCCCCCCTCGGGGGATGGCTATCCCGCAATCCCTTCTCCTCCATTCTCCTCTCGGGACCGTGGGCACACACACATGCACCCAGGGGGGTCTGGGACTCTGCAACCACGGTCAACTATGTGGGAGTCCAGCGACATAGCCATTCTGCCATCTGCTGGTCCCCAGATCATGACATTTAATTTAGTTCTGAGACTTTCACAGAGGAAATGCTTTTTCTAGTGGCTTTATAATTTTGTGCATTGAAAAACCTACCTGCTATCTTAAAAAGGCCATAGAACATCTGTATTATGAAAAAATATGCATGAATTAAAAATTTTGCACTAAGATAAATGCATACTTTTTAAATAAACGTTTATTTAGTCCATGAGTGAGAGGAGAGAGAGAGAGAACCCCTGCTAGGGTATCAATGCACAATTGAGCCATCTTCAGCCTACTCAGATCATGGGCACATGTATACCCAGTGTTCTCAGGGAGGGCTAAGACACCAACCATGTGTTCTGCCATGGGGAGAGGCACATTTTGCCTCTGGGCTCCCATCTGGCCTCAAATTTGTACTTCTATGTCATTTTCCATGAACTTTTTAAAGTCCCCTTGTACTTCTGACTCAATTTTTTTTTCTTACTGCAATTTAGGCAATACAGAGATGAATGAATATGTGGATGTGCTAAGAAAACACCTCAGTGGACTTAGAAATAAGATATTTGTTTCTAAAGGAAAAATTTTAAAAGTGTTAAGAATTCCCAGTTCAAAAATTTAAAATACAAAAGTAATTTTGGAATTACTCAAACACATCAGTGACAGGTGGACCAACCTTATTTAATTTTTTTAGTTTTTAGTTTTTGTTTTTGTTTGTTTGTTTCGCCATAGGGCATGTGTGCTTGCCAGAGAGTAAAAGACAGAGACAGAGGGAAAGTGAGAAATCACCCTCCCCCAGGAGGGATGGCCACATCACAATCCCTTCTATTTCAGTCTCCTCTCAGATTCTGGGATGCATGTACATGTACTTGGTTATAATTTTCAAGCTACCAGGTCTGGGACTCGAACCATGGTCAGGGAGGTGAGAATCCAGTGCCATAACCACCACCCCACCTACTGGCCCCACAGGTAGACCACTATTAATGACATTTTAAAAAGTGACAGAATAGCTGCCAGTCATTAAGTTGTTGTATAAACTTTCATTTTTCATCTTTAACTTTTATAGAAACTAATTTTTATATTACCGATAATTTAGAAAATATAAAAATCTATTTATTTTTCATTTACTTCTGCTGTATTTTCTTTTTTTTTGGAAAGGTTTTTGCTATAGGGCGTGTGCGCTCACCAGAGAGACAGAAAACGAGAAATCATCCCCCTGGGGGGATGGCCTTGCCTGCAATACCTTCTCTTCCATTCTCCTCTTGGGATCTAGGGCACACACACACACATGTGGGTTTAAGCCACTGGGTCTGGGACTCGAATCGTGGTTGACTACATGGGAGTCCAGCAACATAGCGACTGTGCCAACTGCTGGTCCCATGCTGCATTTTCATTACCTCCTTTATCTTGGTTTCCTTGGGATTAATTTTTCTTTGTTGCAGGGCTACAGTAGGCTTAGTACATCTACTTCAGTTCTTTTCAGAAATAAAAAATGTAAGGCTATAAAATTTAAAGAACATGCTTTTTAAAATTATTTAATTTCATTTCATTTACTATCATCATTTTTCAATTTGACCAGAGAGAGAGACAGAGAGAGAGAATAAAGATGAGACAGCAAGTCACCAGGTCTGGGACATAAACGGCAGTTGGCAATGTGAAAGTCCAGTGTCCCAACCACCACGCCACCTGCTGGTCCCCAAAACAATAAAATTTTTATAGTTGATTTTAGCCTTGCCCATACACTTTACAGTTTGATATATAATGTCTTTATTTTTATTACTTTCCTAAATAATCAGAAAATAAACAAATATGTGACCTACTTGCTAGCTAGAAGGGTTTTTTTTTTTTTTTTTTTTTGGAGGTTTTTTTTTTTGGGGGCAGTGGGCTTTTGTGGAGAGGTTTTTGCTATAGGGCGCATGCGCTCGCCAGAAAGAGACAGAGAAACAGAAAGCGAGAAATCACCCCCCCCCACCCCCAGAGGAGATGGCCATGCCACAGTCCCTTTTCCTCCGTTCTCCTCTTGGCATCTTGGGCATGCTAACTACTGGTCCCAGGAAGGGTTTTTTTGTTTGTTTTTTTAAATAATTATTTCTTTAATTTTATTTACTATTATTATTTTATAATTTGCTACAGGACACATGCACTCACCAGAGAGAGACAGACAGAGAGAGAGAGCAGGAAAGTAAGAAAGCAAGCCACCAAGTCTGGGACTCGAACCACAGTCAGACGAACCATAGTCAGCCATGTGGGAATGAGTCAGCCATGAGGGAATCTAGCACTTTAACCGCCTCACCACCTGCTGGCCCCTGAGAGGGTATTTGTTTAAAGCTGCGTGGAGTTGCATTTTGGGTTCATCACTAACTTTGAGCTTTTCTGCAACACGGGCAGGGAATGAGGTCTGTATTTTTTAAACTGATTAGCGAAATCTTCTACAAATACTTGAAAAGACGGAGTGGTATTTATTTGAAGGTAAACTACATTGATTAGTTCAATACATATTAACTGAAAGCAGATAAGTGAGTTGAAAAACTCATTAATGGGAATTTAAATTTTGACAGTTTCTTTCCTTAATTAAAAATGTTCCCAGGCCCAGCTGTGGTGGCACAGATGGTAGAGCACAGCTTTGCAGTGTTGGAATCCACATGGCTGACCACGTGGTTCAGATCCCGAGGTGACCTGAGTGCTGGGTGTAAGCCCACCCTCCTGACTAGTTGGAGAGCTGGGGGAAGGGATGACAGCCTGACAAACCGTGAGGAGGAGGACTGCCTCTCGCTCTTTCTCTCTCTCTCTTGCACTCTCACTTTCTCACTATTGCTGTCATGCTCTCTCATGAAAGGATAAACTTAAAAAAACAAAAACCAAACAAAAAAACAACCAAATTTCCTCATATCCCAGTCCAGGCAGCAGTGTGCCACTCAGCAATGCCGAAGCCAGATGGTTGACGGGTATTTGGACTCCGGGTAAACTTGAAACATGCAGGCTCTGTGCCTGTATGCACAGGGGCCCCCATTATCCTGGCTGGCTGGAAGCCTGTGAGAGGGGACATCTCTTGTGTTTTCTCCCATAGTCTCTCTTTTATGAAAGAGACAAGTTTTCGGGTCCTTGGGAAAGTCATGACATATTGTTTTTCTGGTTTTCTATAAAAAAAAAAAAGGTTCATGATTTTTCTGAGGACCCAATAAACTTTAATATGTTTCCACTTGAAATTGTCATTGTAACTATAAAGCTGTAGGAAGTTCAAATCCACGCACATAAAAATAAAGTTTTTATAAATTTTTGAAGTGATTAAAAAGTAGAATCTCATTAAAAGAATTCTCTCCAAAAACAGAAGCTGGAATCGGTTTAATATGCTGTTGTTTCCTACCACTGATGTTAACAGGAATTCTGTCTTTTGTCTTAAATATACACATAAAACCTTTTGGCTAGAACCACCATCTTCCAGTAATTCACCAAAATGACAAACACAAAGGGAAAGAGGAGAGGCACCCAATATATGTTCTCTAGGCCTTTTAGG